ATTTGTTTATCTCCAATTTAGGTAATTTAACGTTAGCAACATGCGAGATATTTCCATAAGTTATATTTTCTTGTAAATTATTGTTACCACTATTAATCGTTACTTCCTGTCTTGTAGTCTGGCATTTCAGTAAATATCTTTCAATTTTGCCTTTATAAGCCACTACTCGATCTTGATACTCTTGACTTTGTATAATTTCACTCTCTAATTCATCGCTTTTATCAAAATAATTTTCAATTTTCAAATCAAGATCCTTTAAAGTTCCGTTTTTTTCAACTAACTGATTTAGTGAATCATACAAGGTCTCATCAGGAAGTATTTCTAATAACAATTTGTCAATTTTATTTATTAATTTTGTAATCAGCTGTCTGATTACAACCCGTTTGGACTTTAATTTTTCAAAATCATCCATTATAAACAGCTCGCACGTTACTATAATAAATACAATACAATTAATACAATAAAATATCAAAATAAATTACCGACTTAAGGGAGACCAAAACAAAACAAATGTTAACTCATATTTCATGCAGGTGGCCTATTTTTCGGCCGGTGTAGCACCATAACTCGAATTCAACAATAATTACACAAATTGAAATGATTCAAATTATTTTATTCCACTGTGGTTCAGTAGGTTAAATCTAAACTGAAACTTAAGAAGTGCAGAAAAAAAATAATAAAAAAAATTGTTTGTGCTCAGCTCCATCTGGTATTATAAATCCTCAACAAGTATAGACGTCTTAAAGATATCTATGATAGACGTAATATGGCTAATAAACACAATTATGTTAACAAATACAAACGATTATGTCGGAGCTATAACAAAAAAATACGCTTTATATTTCATTTAATGCAGAAGAATCTAATGAAGATCAGCTTATTTGAAACTCTGAAATGTGACACCCATATATAACTTGGTGAATGATAGATACGTGATACTGAAAACAAAACAAAAACATAAGCACACAGCTGTTTGGCGATTTGCGAGACGCTCCTTCAACGCCGATAGATATTTTCGCCAACCCCTTTACAATCTACGGTATGTTTTGTCAATACGCTCCCGGTATACCCTACACTGATGTTTTTTTAAGGTTAAGTGCCACTGCCCGGTATGCATTTGCCCGGTATACCCTACTCTGATTTTTTTCAAGGTCAAGTGCCATTGCCCGGTATATATTTGCCCGATACTCCAAACACTGATGTTTCTTCTAATCTATCGTCAGTAAGTATTAAAATATAGAATAAATATAAATATATGAAATAAATATAATAATATTAACGAATAAATTAATATAAAATTGGATATAACAAATATTTCGGACATTCACCAAAGCGACTATGTGATTGTTGACATTCACCGGTGAGATTCAGAAATAAGGGTATTTAGCAAATATTTCGGACATACACCAAGCGACTACGTGAATGTTGACATTCACCGGTGAATGTCGACATTCTCCAGATTTCGGTGTTTCATCGTAACCTATATACGTTCAGAGACACGACGGATTGAACTATTTACTTTAAAACTTCCTCGGATAACCATTTTGCTCACTACATACCAAAAAAAAAGAGAATCTTCCGTAGGATTTGATAAATATTTTGTAATATAAGTGATTTGCCAGCTTGCAGCTCTAATCAACCAAAAATTAGTTTTACCGCACGTGTTAGGTTATCATTAGTAAAATGACGTTAATAGTTTGGTGGCCTATGGTAATGACGTCACAGAATTATATAAGACCACGTGTTTCTTTTATTGACACTTACGCTTTTAAAACATGTTTCTTCCAAAATATATATTTCTCTTACACGGTGACAAAGAAATGTTGAAATTTCTTTTTCGCGTTGGCAACAAAGAATTGGAACATCAAGCGAAGGAGCTTTCATAAACATGAAAGTTCATGCATGTTTACGTCTCGCAGTGGATTGACCGTAAAGAAACGGTTCCCAGTAGAACACTGAAGTCAAGCATCACTGGCTGCGGTCAGTAAACAGGTGGGTGACCATTTTGATCCGCCTGTGCAGGGATCAAGGGTGCGCCTTATCGGTCCTCATTAAACTGTTCTACCGTAATGTGCTCGACTTCCCTCGCAGGTTGTCCTGCTACCAGAGCAGGGGAGCCACCCCCTCTGCAGAGGATCAAAATTGCGATGGTATGCCTTCGGATCATCTTCAGGGATGTTCCCCAGACCATCGTCAATAGACAATTTTTGACCATCAGGAGTTGACCTCGAGCAATAGCATTATGCCTTATCCTGCAGAATGCAATTAGTTTTTAGTTTGGTAGGAGTTTCTAAGAACGTGTGTAGCTTAATCTGATGACGTAAAGCCACCGGGAAGGTTAATGAAATATAAGAATTAAAAAAAATATTTTTTTTAGCTTAATTAACTGTGTCAGTATATGTGTTTCATTCTAGTGCATGGTTTTATAGTGTTGATTAATATCAGTCTATTGGTTATTTATGTTTTCTTCACCCCGTAAGAAGAACGGGTACTTTCTAGTCTAAGTTAATTGTTGCTTATTTTGAGTGCTAATTGAAAAATTAATGAAGCAAATTTAATAAAAACTACTATGCTCGAAACATTTTATTTGCGAGAAATGGCATAAAAAGAATTTATCTTTTTTATTTAAAAATTTTACTTTGTGCTGAAAACACAGAACATTATGAAAAAAAAGACAAAAAAAACCCCACTTAATCCATTTTTTTCAAGAACTTAAGTGCCCTTATTTTAGAGAAAATAATTAAAAATATCAAGATATGTAATACCGGTTTCTAATTTTTTGTTGTTGACGTTTTTATACTTTTTGCTATGATGTTATTTTAAACATTGATTGAGTTTGCACTTTAAAATATTGAAATTAAAAAGTTAAATCAAGTCGTAAATTTTCGAAAATCTGTTTTTCATTAAAACGAAATGCTAACTTTATTTCCTTAATATTAAGATTGGTGAGTAAGTTTTATCTTCGTTTTTATTAACTCTCTTTTGTGATACTGGAGTCTTGTAATTAAAATTTCTGACACTTTTTGATTAGACAGGCTACTCAGTTCTCTAATGAAGCCTCGAGCGTGAATTTAATGCAAGTTTCACTGTTTTTTGATTGCTACATTATGATTTAATATCATTTTATTGTCAAATGGAATTTATCTTCAATAAAATACTCCTAACCCCTAGAATCTCATTTATAGTTCTGTATCTGATGACAATGTATTTTTCAAACTTTTCTTATCAGCATAAAGTAGACTATTTCACAAAATTTACGCCAAATTGAATGTTTCTATTAACATTTCAATTATTTCTCTACAAACTAGAACGCTTAAAATTCAATTGCAGTCCTGAACCAGACGTATTGAACTATCGTGAAAGTGATGATGAAATTTACTTTTTTAATGGTGTAAACAAAACTTAAATTTCAATTGAAACTTCGACCACTTTCTGAGATAAATTAATCGACGCAAAATTAACATAAAGTGGTAATTCAAAATGTAATTTAAAGGATTTCGTTTTTCATGTAATCCCTTTTCGAAGAAGAAATTTTTTTTCGAGGGAACGGAAAGAAATTCCGCATGCAATATGTATAATCAGAAGAAATTTCATATTCGTAGAATTTTTGAGAGTAGAAGGATAGTTGAAGTGCGATGACGTCTTACTATCTTGAAACTGTCTTGATGGCATTGTGAGGAATGGCAATTAATTAGAAATAAATAAACAAATAACTGGAATAAATCGTGGTAGTAATGGGTTTCAAATTCAAAAGAACATTTCATTGTAGGAAGGAAAAGTTATTTCTCTTCTTATTCGAAGAGATTCTTTTTTATCATTTTTAATTCTTGCTAAGATTGAGAAGTTTTCTTGAGAAATATAGCTTTGCGCTTGTTTGTTCTTTCTGCATGCTGCTCATTATAGCTTCCAAGATATAAAGATCAGTATTAAAAGTTGATGCTAGTGAATCAGTTGAAACTGAGAAATTTAATTTGGGAGATTTATGATAGAAATTTGAAATAAACAAAAACGAAGTAAGTAAAAAAAAATAAGTATTACTAATTTGATTGAACATTCCAAAATGTTCAAATTTATAAAATGATACGGTAATGTTCAATCGGTTTTGTTGCAAAAGAACAAAGAATATTCCTGTAATAGGAAAAAAAAACTTCAAAAAAGGCAATTAAAAAGTTGGAAAGTCAGAAACTACAGGTCAAAGCATCAAACATTTGGTTAAGCAATTTTAAGCTCTGCGGTAAAGAAACATTAGTAGATTTTTGAACATTTAGAAGACTGTATAAAAAAGTTAAATGAAATATACGAATTTGAATTTCCGATACAATTAATATTTTATAATAAAATTAATATGTATATTCCATACCTGCCAACTTTCACTCCTTCCGAGAATGGATTTTCAGAGTGGTTATAAAACAATAAACGAAAATCAATTTGATTCAAAAATATATTTATATTTTTATCCTGTTAGAATTCGCTTGAGCAGGGATTATTATGCTTTCATATATTTATTGTAATTATTTATATCTAGTGGTGGTCAGACTCATTTATAATTATCATTATAATTCAAAAAGTTAATTGGAATAACCTGAGTATTGCTACCACTATAAATATGAAAATAAAATCTTCCGGAAAATCCGGAAGAGTTGGCAGGTATGATATTCACTGAATAAAGGGCACCTGTATTTTAGAGTCAAAACACATTATAATATTGTTCCATATTAAGAGGTACTATATTTTCTTCTTTTCAATCTTCTTGAAAACGCAGTTTTTGAATTTAATTATATTTTACTATTTCTTATTTCTTATTATCTTAAGTTTCAATAACCTTTAAAGTTTGCTAATTTACTAAAACAGGATTTTTATTTGTAATAATCAGGATTTCTTTTATATTCATGGATATATCACAAGGATTCTTCATTTGCAGGAAAAATAAAGAATTCCTATTTCCGTCTTCTTATTTTAGTGAAAAATAGCATTTTTAAAAAACAAAAATGCATTTATTTTTGAGTTTTTATTAAATATCATTACTTAAATATGTAGAAATGTATGCATGTTATATAACAAGGAATCATTTTGCATCGATTTTAAGCATGAAAAACATCATGAAAAAATTATTATTAAAAACACATTCTATGTATATGGACATTAATGTCTACGTACTTGAGCTTTGAAACTGAGGGTGCCGATTATTTCGTTAATTTTTTCCAGTGATGTGACGTCACTTTCCAAAGTTGATATTTCCTTAAGATATTTTCTGACGCAAGGTTCTTCAACATCATCTGCTTGAAGAAAGTTAATAAATTGAATTAAAAAATTTATTTCTGTATTTATTTATCATTTTTGAACATTTTCTATTCAGATTTTGAAAAGACATTGTATACATACTTTTTAACAGTTCAACGTCCTGCAAAGAAGCTTTTAAGAGCAGTTTGTATTTATTTGTATCGAGAGAGTGATATAGTGCTGCAGCATTCCTAAAAACAAATGATGGTTAGTGCAGTAATATAAATTTTGTAATAATATTTAAATTGATTTTGCAACATAAAATTATTTAAATGTATTTAACATCAAAAGTAGTACAGGGAAACACCAAAGGAAAGAAATGCTTCTTACTTTTGATGTTGTAGTTGTTGACGTATGCCTGCCTAGGCAGAGGGGGTGCGATTGTTCTTGTTTTCCAGTGGTGCCATCTATGGCCAAGAATTAGACTTCTGCCACACCATACGTCACACCCGTTTATAGGGCGGACCCATTCATACATCCATTCATTCATCCACAGATCGCAATTTCGACCTGAATCAGAGAATGATCGATTTCCAATCCAGTACCCCAAGAGGTATTGATTTGTTATGGGAACATGGAGAAATTTTGCGATTCGACAGATTATAACGTGCATCAGTCACCATTTACTGCACGGAGAGTCTTCGGCCGGTGGAGGCGAACCCACGAACTCTCGGACATGGGCCAAGCTCCCTACCGACCAGGCTATCCCGGCTATTTCTTACTTTTGATAAGAAGTAGTTATCACTATTTTTGGGGTTTAGTAACATCAAAGAGTCCAATTAAAGTAAGATATAATAACACATAAGCAAGGCCGTACTCAAGTGGGAGGGGAAACAAAAGGCCCGATTTAAACTCCTTAAAAAATTTTAAGTTTCTAATTAATTTTCTAAAAAAAGATTGCAGAGAATTCGAAAGTATGAAAGCTACAATTTTAAGTAAAGTTTTTTCATAAATCCTACTATACGAATATGCAAATTTTTTTCTTGAAGAAAGGACCCATCATAAATTTTGTTCGAGGGCCTATAAAGTCTGCGCCCAGCTTATGGGGACCATATTTCCAAGATTACGGTTACCCCTTATATTTTTGGGGTCAGAAATCCGAACCAGGCGAAAAGAAGGTAGACTTATTCAGAGTAAGTAAGTTTTTGTGTCTGATTTCGTAACTTGAAATATCGTCTGCATTTATTAATTAGCATATTTGAGGTTAACCCCATGAGCCATTCAGATTGAGTTCCAGAACGTGTAGATCCGATCATCAGATCAAAAGTTATTCAGGGTAGACCCTTTTTTTTGGCTCACTGTACACACGCTCTCATTCTTAAAATAAAATAAGTTTGTAAATCCAACATACGCATAATTACATACGCAAAGAGAATATTAAGATGAATTTAAATTAGGCTAAATAAAACAGAAGGGAATAGAAAATAAATATTATAAAATTATTGTATACAGTTGCCAGATAATTAAGAAACTAAAATATAATTATTTTTATTGTTTAATAAAAACATACATATCTGTGTCGTATCGGCGATCTATTGTTTCCGTAGATGTGGAGCAGCGTGAATACAATACAATAAAATATTCCCTCTATTTCTTATTCAAACGTAAACTGCCTGTGGTGATAGGTTCGCCGCACATCGTAAAATCAAGTTTATTTCATATTGTTATCTGTTTGTCTTTAATCAATTGTGTTTTTACTTATTTTTGAAGTGAACTGAAATAAGAGTTCTGACGTCATCATATTAGAATTGTATAAATACCAGCACGCACATGACAGCCTGTCAGTATTTNAAATGTAGCTCATTTTATGCTGACGACAATGAAATTGGAAAAAAATTTTAATATGACAAAAAGCTGTCATTTAAAAAATAAGTTAAAAAAAATGAAAAAAACTTTGTTGTTTAATTTTTTAATATTTGGAAAGTTATTCATCACTGTGCTGTTAAGGTTTTAGAAAAAGCATACAAAAATTGCAAATTATTCTTTGTAATGCTCTTAATGTAAAATCTTGCCAACTAGTGATTTTAGTTTAATTTTGACCATTTTAGTAAAATTTTTAAATATATTTTTAAGCTGATTTCTTTTAGCAAGATAATACACATAATAAAGATTTGAAGCTTTGCTTCACGTTTTTTCAGGATTCAAATTCGATCAAATTAAATTAGTTTCATTTAAGGACCATTCAGAATAATCTATGCAGTAAAAATAACCTTTCACAGCATTATAAAAATGCCTCCACAAAATTCCAATCTAAAAAATCAGATTTTTCACAGATTCTAAATTTCAAAAATAAACTTTTTGCAAAATATGTTTTTTTAATGACTTGTATAAGCAACAGATATATTATTTGCATTGTAGTTGGGCAGAGAGGAAGAAATAATGAAGCAATGGTTGGATTGTTGTGTGACTGAAGGTGGCATCCTAGTGGCACAGCAAAAAATACTTAAACGACCTTATCTTGTGGCACAAATGATTGAAGAATGGCTCGGATTGTATCGAGGTCTAGTCCGTAGACCCACCATTCACTCATCATCACCCGAATCTCATACTCAAGTCTACTCAAGTGATGGGGATTCTGATCAAGAATAATGAACTTAAATTTTAACATGATGCAATCGGCAATGAGAGATGTAAATAGTGCTTGTGAATATCACGTCCGGGTCACCAATGTGGGGTGAGCAGTTATAGACCATGTCAACCGTCATCTATGAAAAGGTACCCCGACATAGAGTCGAGTTAACATGTCTTATATACTAGTGAATTGTAGTTGTAATTTTGTAGTGGTAGATACGCTACATGCCTATTGACGATATTCGAAATACGCTAACATTGTCGTTGTTGGAAGTGAAAATAATATTTGAAGAGTGCACATGCGCGTAGCTTGGTGTTAAAGTGTTCTTCCACACAATTGTTTGAGTTCTTCAATACCGAATTCAAGAATACCGAATTCAAAGATATTACATCACAGCTTCTACAGTGTACCAAAAGAAAATTGCTTGCCAACTTTTACAAAGGGCATTTCCATCCCTCTCTATAAATATTTCGTATTATAAAAAATTAACTGTTAAACGTTGTCTTCATTTTTAATTTAACAGGTAGTTTAGTTATTTATTATTTTTGATGGTTAACATCGAATATAAAACTATTGGGTTATAAGCGAAGGACTGCGATTCATCTTTATACAGTGTTGACTACCTAGTCCTGCACAATTTTTACAGAAGTATCCAAAAAACAATTAAGTAAACGAATATGTTTAAAAGTTCACCAGAACTTAAAAATATTAGAAAAAAATTATTAGGCCATTAATATGAACCAGTGAATAATTTAAAAGTCATGATGGTCATCATTATTTTAATTCAAATGAAAAATAATAAAATCTGTTACCCCGTTTCATATTTTTGAGAAAAAGTCCAGTCTACAACTCGAAGAAATCGTCAGGTCAGTCTATTTAGCGATGATTCAAAAATAATTTGGCCACATTGCGCATTTTACTTAAGATCAGAGAGTAAGATGATCATTGTAAACACCCGAACTTCACACTGCACCTAACCATGCTTAAACTTTTCAGACTCTAAAACCTACAGTGATATTTATTTTGAATAAATTCCAAGCCTCTTAGACACGATGGGAGAAAGTTCAAACCTATCAGACGTTAAAGATAGCTCCAGTGCATATACATTATTCTTATATTATTCCCAAAAAATGAGTTTTCATTGCCCTTTAAATTCATATTTATTTAAAGGTATTTTTTTTCTCACTTACACAGCTACGGAAGATTTCCTGATTGCACCTTTCTTCTTAATGCTTGTGATAAGCAGCATGTCTGAGAATAAGAACAAACAGCGTTCTTTCTTCATTCCAAGACCACCCTAATTTTAAAAAAAAGAATAAAATAAATAAGAGGTATAAAACAGCACAGCTAATATGAAGTAATAATGTAATTCTTGGAAGATTTGTCTACCAAGAATCACATTTTGTAAACTTATGCAACACCAACAAACAAAACTTTTGCAGAAATGCTGAAAATAATCGGTCAGCATAGCACAGCAGAGAGCATGTAATCTAGACACCCACTACACATTGGGTGAGTGGGATGTTTTCGGATGAGTTCAGGTATTCATTATTAATTTGGAGATCATCAGGGTCCGGTTGCCACCAAGACAACTTCATTGGACACCGTTGTTATGGTGGTACAGAACTTCTCGTTTGGGTGGAGTTATTCTGGATTCCAGAACATATCTACGAGTTCAAATTAGAACCACGAAAGGCCAAATTTATCAGGATATNTAAGCGTCGCAAACGTATTTTATATTACAAGTTGCGTTATCCGTACTTTCGTCAAATTAATGCGTCTATAAGTTAATATTCTTTGATAAATAGCACGTGAAAAGAATAACATAAAAATTATATGAATAACAAAAAATCTATATCCTTTTGTTTCTTCAAATATTTTATTTGCAATCATTTCACTTGCCTAAATCCAATACTTTTCCATAAGTACTTTATCAACAAATTAAACTTCCTGAATAGCTAATATTTTATCACCAATGTGAGAAATGGTTCACAATATATCCTTAAGTGCAAATTTAAACTCAAGGGGCAAGCTGAATAACAAGCTAATCACGTTAGCTTTCGCTATTTTGTATCAATTATTTTCGAGGCCTCTGACTTTTAAACATCTAACTCTTGTCACTAACTTAAATTTATAAGCTTCTTACAAATAATTCCCATTCTTTTTACCTAATTACATCACACCATAAAAAATTAAGCAACGCAGTAAGCGTCGCAAACGTATTTTATATTACAAGTTGCGTTATCCGTACTTTCGTCAAATTAATGCGTCTATAAGTTAATATTCTTTGATAAATAGCACGTGAAAAGAATAACATAAAAATTATATGAATAACAAAAAATCTATATCCTTTTGTTTCTTCAAATATTTTATTTGCAATCATTTCACTTGCCTAAATCCAATACTTTTCCATAAGTACTTTATCAACAAATTAAACTTCCTGAATAGCTAATATTTTATCACCAATGTGAGAAATGGTTCACAATATATCCTTAAGTGCAAATTTAAACTCAAGGGGCAAGCTGAATAACAAGCTAATCACGTTAGCTTTCGCTATTTTGTATCAATTATTTTCGAGGCCTCTGACTTTTAAACATCTAACTCTTGTCACTAACTTAAATTTATAAGCTTCTTACAAATAATTCCCATTCTTTTTACCTAATTACATCACACCATAAAAAATTAAGCAACGCAGTAAGCGTCGCAAACGTATTTTATATTACAAGTTGCGTTATCCGTACTTTCGTCAAATTAATGCGTCTATAAGTTAATATTCTTTGATAAATAGCACGTGAAAAGAATAACATAAAAATTATATGAATAACAAAAAATCTATATCCTTTTGTTTCTTCAAATATTTTATTTGCAATCATTTCACTTGCCTAAATCCAATACTTTTCCATAAGTACTTTATCAACAAATTAAACTTCCTGAATAGCTAATATTTTATCACCAATGTGAGAAATGGTTCACAATATATCCTTAAGTGCAAATTTAAACTCAAGGGGCAAGCTGAATAACAAGCTAATCACGTTAGCTTTCGCTATTTTGTATCAATTATTTTCGAGGCCTCTGACTTTTAAACATCTAACTCTTGTCACTAACTTAAATTTATAAGCTTCTTACAAATAATTCCCATTCTTTTTACCTAATTACATCACACCATAAAAAATTAAGCAACGCAGTAAGCGTCGCAAACGTATTTTATATTACAAGTTGCGTTATCCGTACTTTCGTCAAATTAATGCGTCTATAAGTTAATATTCTTTGATAAATAGCACGTGAAAAGAATAACATAAAAATTATATGAATAACAAAAAATCTATATCCTTTTGTTTCTTCAAATATTTTATTTGCAATCATTTCACTTGCCTAAATCCAATACTTTTCCATAAGTACTTTATCAACAAATTAAACTTCCTGAATAGCTAATATTTTATCACCAATGTGAGAAATGGTTCACAATATATCCTTAAGTGCAAATTTAAACTCAAGGGGCAAGCTGAATAACAAGCTAATCACGTTAGCTTTCGCTATTTTGTATCAATTATTTTCGAGGCCTCTGGCTTTTAAACATCTAACTCTTGTCACTAACTTAAATTTATAAGCTTCTTACAAATAATATATTGAAATGAAATTTCTGAATGTCTCTTAAAAACGCAAATAAAGTAATGATCTTTATGTAAACAGTTATATATATTAGAATTAAATTAATTATTTTTGAAATATAACCTTGAGACGATGAGGAAATCTTTTATTAAATTGAGATCTTCATGAGATACTATTAAGAACACTGAATAAATCGGTTGTTCAAATTTAGGTAAATAAATGTGTCATCACAATTACTAGGATGTTAATGTCGTAAAGTTTCACTTATGACTTAAAATAAAGAAAAAAATTTCCCATTTTGAGATTTTAATTCCGTATGATTTCAAACCAAAATCCAGTGGAGTAAAATATGTCATTAAATGAAATAAAGTATCAGACTTTGTGAAAAAAGATAATTTTGACGAAATTTTTGATTTTTTAAAAAATATATTTCAACTCTTGTCCAGTAGCTTTCTATATATCTTTGAATTGAGAATAAGTGTTACGATTTCTAATTATTTTATTCATATAAAATTACTTGTTTTAAAATTTTTTTTGGCAATTACATACTTTACATGAATTTTCAAAAGAACCTCGGTTTTGAGAAAATCCCTTTACGCTTACACACATTACAACTAGAGTTTATTATCGAATTCTTCGAAACTTGGTATACAGATTTTAAAAAATGTTAGCCGTGTTTTAAAATAAATGCTAAGACATAAGTGTGAATTTATTATTTTTGTCATGCTTTAAATAAGAATGTCTGAATTTTAAAAAAAAATCAATGTTGAACAATATATTTAATTCTACTTAATTGTATATTTGAAATTTACAAAAGATTACGGTTCAAAACACAGGTAACCATATTATTGATCGGAGAAAAAATTATTTTGATATTTATGCATTGCCATCTGTTGCAGAGTTGTTAGCGTGACGTTAAGAATTTATAGTTTTTGTGTTAATTAAAATTTTAATTAAGGCTGTTTTAAAAGGAAATGCATCGTATGCAGTAGAATACCTTAATTAAATATTTCCAATTAAATGTGAGGCTGTAAGATATTTTTGTTAATTGACAATAATTTGACAACAATTGCTAAAGAAGACATATTAGTATGAGTTTTCACTCAAACACTCGCACAAATAAGAAAGATTTGTACATGTGTTTAGATTTCTGTTAGGGCTTAGGTTAAAAATATTATGAAACGAACAATATAAAAAATATTGGACTAATAAAAATAAATGAAGATATAAGGTGTTGGAATGGTACGAGTGAAAAAATTAAGGAGCTTTTAGCATATAATAATTTATTGTAATACTTTAAATTTTGCACTCATATTCTGTAAATTATGAATTTAAAGCAAGAGAGTTTTTGCCGACAATATTATTTAGTTGTTTAGTGACAGGATAAATATTTATGAATATACGCATCATTAACGTGAACTACACTGGTCGGCAATGATTTTGTTGTGGTTTATGTATATAAATTACTGTGGTTTATGTATATAAATTACTGTGGTTTATGTATATAAATTACTGTGGTTTCTCATTGTGTTATTGTGGCAGTGGAAAATAATGTGGTTTCTCATGCACTTATCTAGGCTAAGTCTAATATGACAGTAAAAGTCAGGGCCTAGACTTTCTGTGTTTCTAACTTTTATAAAAAAAATAAAAAAGTAATGAATGTTTGTTCGTTTTTATTGTGAATAACCATCCAAATGTTTTGGCGCTAGATAAGCTGAAAACTATGGAGCCCTTATTTCTAAACTCCTTTAATATTTTAAAGCTCTGGAAGGTAACATGACCCGCCATTTTACAGATTTGCATTTGGACTTTCTCCCTGAAAATTTTGCAGCTTTGTACGATTAACATAGTCCTTTTATAATAGTAGGAACTATTAAATTTTTTATTTCAAAATAAAAAAACTCTTCCTTTGGCAATTATTTGAAAAACAAAAAACAAAATTTTGTCTATCAGTGTTATTAAAAAAGCAAAAATGGAAACTTTTGCAGCGATTAACTAAATTGGTTCATTTAACTTAACTCAAATTTAGTAACTTTTCCCTAGATGACAAAATCGATGAATTTTGCATATTAAAAATCAATGTTATGTTAGTAAACTATAAGTAATGAAATTTTTCTTTCTTTGAAATTTGCAAATCATTTGTAGTTTCTACTAGGAACAAAAGAGTATTTTGATTTGCTTTAAAAGAGAGAAAAGGCTTTACGAACTCTTAAACAATTAAACTTTTGTTCATCATGAAAAGTTTGTGGTTGAATTGCTTAAAAAAGATATTGAATTTATATTGGGGTTGCTGGGAGTTTAATAAACCAGAGATTTTCTTTTTAAATCTTGGGTTAAAGCTTATCTTTGCTGATAATTAGTTGAGCTTAGAAAAATGAAGATTTTATTTCTCTAATATTGCAAACTATTGTTTTTGAAAATCGTTTTTTATTAATGTTTGGTTATTTCAGATTGTAAACTGAAATTTTATTAATTGGATTTAAATTTGTTTCTCTTTAAGAAGCATTCGGTTTCGTTATTTTAGACATGATGACGCAAATATTGAATTTAAGTTGTACAGCCGATAAATAACGACTCAGCTGTTCATACAGTTTATTTAAAGTTATCAAAAGTTTCGTCTGAAACTGTTATCCCATTGTGACAGTAGTCGCAAAATGCAATTGGTTTTCTGTTCGGATCATACCATGA